CTTTAATCCCACCACGCTTCTCAGCAAACTCTGATGGAATAATCTTAGTATAAGTAGGTGCAGAAATTGTAAATTTTTGTAATTGCATAAAATCTTTACTAATCATTATACTTCCATTATCTTTTAATAAAAAACTTAATCCTAAAATTAGATCTGTATTTAAAGATAATTCTCTTATCCAAACTGAGTCTTTAGGTAAACTATATTCTGTACTTCTACCGCAATTAGTCTCAAAACTAATTCTTGCTGGTTTTAAAATATCTTGATAACTATAAAAATTTCCATCCATTTGTTGAGCTTCTATGGGTTCTTTTGATTTTATTATATATTTTTCTGGTATGATTCTTTTATTAATTATACAATGACTACAACCTGAATCTATCAAACCTAAACACATTATTTCATAATTTTCTATACTAACATAACATTTTACTTTAATACTTTTTAATTTTTCTGAATTACAAAAAACTTGAACCAATTTTGGTTCAGGAATTATTTCTGAGTTTTCTCCTTTTTTAGAGGATTCCAATATAGTAAGCCCCTGTTTGATCAGGATTAAAGTCTGATTTTAATCCAAATCAAAATTAAACAATCATTATTAATCACATTTTTCACGAGTGCCACAACTTTTCAACCACACATTTCAAAAACTCTATCACAATTTACTAAAAATCTAATTTTAATTTCCACCAAACACTCTCTAAATAGTGATTTTGAGGAAAATGTTTGGTTAAAATGTTAGGGAATTTTTTTAGTTTATATGCAAAATATTTTATTTCATGAATTTGTGGTTGAAAATGAGTACGTAGAAAAAAAAAATTTCAAATAATAGGTGTCAAAGTGGCCAGGGGTCCACAGCCGGCCACATGGACCTCAGCCTACCAGTCCAGCTTACATGGAACTCAATTGGCTCGAATCCTATGAGTTCTGTACAGAGCAGACAGCTGCACCACTTTGCTTTTGACTTTGACCCTGACAAGGGTTTAGGGTTTTCAATTTTCTCCCCAATTTCATCTTCAATTCCAGAGCATTAATCAAATTAAAAATGGATCCAACACATCCAGTACATATAGTATAAGTACATTCCAACTAGTTAGGAACCTCCCCCATTTTTCTCAAATTTTTTAATTTTTTTTTTCACGGACCAACGGGTTAACTGCAGCTAGTGAAGGTGCAACCCGCGAATCCCGCGGGTCACACCTTCTGACCCGAGAACCGCCCGCACGAGTCACGAGTTGGCCCGCGGTCCCGATCCAATTCGAACCGCTTTTCACAAGTCTGACCGGCCCATCCGTCTTGACACCTCTAAGCTTACATGGAACTCAATTGGGCTCGAATCCTATGAGTACTGTACAGAGCAGACAGCTGCACCACTTTGCTTTTGACTTTGACCCTGACAAGGGTTTAGGGTTTTCAATTTTCTCCCCAATTTCATCTTCAATTCCAGAGCATTAATCAAATTAAAAATGGATCCAACACATCCAGTACCGGAGCCGCAGAAGACTGACGTCGTTCCGGCTACGGCTTCCGCATATCTCGACCCTAGTTACTGGTCAGTACCATCCTACCTTCACAAAATCCGCAACTTATTTTTCATTTTTTTACCCGTTAATTTTGCATCTTAATTTAACAGATTATATTTTTTTTGTTAACTTAAATAAATATTAGGGACCAGAGGTTTGCTGAAGAAGAACATTACGAATGGTTCAAAGATTACTCTCATTTCCGTCATCTCATCCTTCAACACATAAAACCCGATTCATCTGTAATTCTTCTTATTTGCTGTTTTACATAATTAATTAGCTTTCGAAAAAGTAGATTTTAATACAATATGGTTTAATAAACAGATTTTGGAGGTGGGTTGTGGAAATTCTCAGCTCTCTGACGAATTATACCAAGATGGAATTACTGCTTTGACCTGCATTGACTTGTCATCAGTTGCTGTCGAGAAGATGACGCGACGATTATTTACCAAGGGCTACAAAGGTTCAATAATTACACCCTCTCTGGTTAATTTGTCACTGTGTACTAGGGCCAAAGCAATTGGTACTACTTCGTCTTGTACAGAAAGTTGGACCTTTTAATGGATATGAACTGTCTTTTGCCCTTGGTTCATTAAGTTATTTTTCATTTTTTGGCTGAAAGTTGGTAACTTTGGTTGAAAGACCTTGAATTATTTTTTGCCTGCTTAAACTATTTTGGGTTTATTCCATGCATAGCATGAAACTGTTTAAGAAGTGTCATTTTGCAATTTGATCGAAGTGTTAATACAATTCACTTCTCATTTTGGATTATATCTTTTTTGTGCTATTGTCGTCAGAAATTAAAGTGCTGGAAGCTGACATGTTAGACCTGCCTTTTGAAGATGAATGTTTTGATGTGGTTATAGAGAAAGGAACCATGGTAAAGCTATAGTTAGTTTCATTATCAATTAGACACATTGTAGGATTCTATGCTGAAAGTTTGTTTGCATTTACGAGTGGAAATGAAATGGGAGTACAGCAGCACGCACCACCTTGTTTGGCAAGAAAAGGAATGGGAAGAAAACGTAAAAGTGGAGGGATGTCCGTCGAATTTCAATAATTCGGTTTCATCCCTAAGATATAGATTTACTGATTTTTATTATTTTTTTTTAAAAGAAGACTATTTATCTCAGAGAGGTTTGCAGAATTTTTTTTCAATTATAAACGAATGGAGAAAGCTTTTAATTTGTCGCTCCCTCCCAATTCCATTTTCATCCTTTCCCTCCTCTTCTTGAATCCATTGCCAAATGAAGGTATAGTCACCATATATAGGTTTGGTTTTTTTTTTTAATCATTTAGAGCATGTTTGGTTAAGCCTAAAAAAGAGAATATTTACTTTTTTCAAGAAGGGAGAGGAAGCTTTTTAAAAAGTCAAGTTTTGTACTGAAATCGAAAAAGAAAGGAAAGCAACTTTTAAAGAAAAGCTTAAAATATTTGGAAAAGAAAGATTCTGAAAAGGAACTTTTAGGGTTTAAAACATGTTTGGCGGAGTTTAAAATTACTAAGGTAAAATTGCTTTCATTATAGGCTTAGCTGAATGCATTAATGCTAAATTGGTTAAGCATCTATATTTTTAAACTTGAAGGATGTCTTGTTCGTGGACAGTGGTGACCCGTGGAACCCAAAGCCGGAGACATCGAGCAAAGTTATGGCAATGCTTCAAGGTGTTCATAGAGTTTTGAAACCTCATGGCATTTTCCTCTCTATCACCTTCGGCCAGGTAGAAGGAGTCTCAATAAATTGATCCCTCTCCATGTTCCCCGAATAAATAAATGGCTCTCGCCTGTTTCTTACTGTTAACACTGTGTTACTCAGCCACACTTCAGGCGTCCTTTCTTTAATGCTCCAGAATTTACCTGGTCCATTGAGTGGAGAACATTTGGTGATGGATTTCATTATTTCTTCTATATCTTGAAGAAGGTTGGTGACAAATATGAAATTTTATTGCTGCAAATAACAGTCTGTTGTATTTTGCATCTGATAAATTGAATGCACATGCAAATTTAAAACAGTCTCTTCCACTGTACCAATTCAATAAAGATCTTACAATTTATACTTAGCGCACTTGTCCGTCTTCCTAGTGATCATTGTGCCTAAGTTAGATCGTGAATGAAGATCAGCTAGTCAATGTTTTGCAGGGCAAAAGATCATTAGACTACAACGGAGATGCTGCAAAGGTTGACGTTCCATCCTTATCACTTTACCACGAGGAATTAGACGATGAATCCTATATATTTCGAACCAATTTCGATGAGATGTGATATCAGATATAGAAGGTAAAATTTTCAAAATCCTCATTAGTTTGCTCCTGTACTCTTGCTATGATAGTTGTTGTGGTTTGAACTATTGGAATAGATTTGTCCAAGAAGTTTTGTACCATCTGCTTATATACTTCTATATTGATTGTTGCCAAACTACTCCTTGCTTGCAGTTTGCTCTTAGCCATTCCCCTGTATTGTGATTGATTCTTAACGCGACTTGTTTGAAAAGGTTGTTGGGGGACCAAAAGAGCTTTTAGATTTGAGTTCACAACCAAGGCCATTTCCTTCTGCAGATTTCTGATTCTTTCATGTCACTTGTGAACAGCTGCAACAGGACAGGGCTGTGTGAAACTTTTAGAACCTATTTGCTACATTTGGTTGGGGATTTCAGTTATAATTTTCTCTTTTTGTAACTTAAAATATTCAAAGCATACTTGGTATATGATACTATTGGAAAAAGGCAAGATTTTAATTTATTTATTTTTGATATGACGAAACATGTAGGTTTTAAGCTCAACTAGAATTTAGATCCACCAAACTATTTATTTATTGAAAATATGCAACAAACCAAAATAAAAATGTTGAATCATGCTACACTTACAGACA